GTTTCATGGTTCGCGGCCGTGAACTGAGCTCGGACAATCCTTCTTCAGATTTCTAGAGAGAGAAACACAAACCAAAGGAGAAGAAGGCTAGGATTTTGCTTAAAGGTGGATTTTGGGAAGATTTCCTCCAAGGAAAGTTCAACACAAGGGTCAAGAAGATTGGGAGCATACTCCATGGTGGTTTCCACCTCTTCTCCTTGTGTTTTTTCCATTTCTAGAATGGAGTAGAATTATTTTCACTTGGGTGCTGTGAAACCCTAACTCTATCATGTATTTTTCTTTTTATGTGAATTGAATGATTGTCATTGGGTATTGTTTAATTCAATGATTGAGGTATTACTTATCTTGATTGTGCATGTCTATACTTAACAATCTAACTAGCCACTTAACATAGACTAGAGAGGGAAACCCCCCTTCCAAGGGAGTCTCAATTGAGTTGATATCCCTAGGGCTTTTTTTAAGTCTTCTAACTAGGTTAATTTAGGCCACTACAAAAAAGGCTGACAGTTGTGACGAAAACCTACCGACGACACAGTTTTTTCGTCAGAAATATGCATCTTTTTCAACAAAATGGACATTTTGTTAGAAATTTTATTATTATTTATGACCAGAAATTGGTTGCGTCAGAAATTATTGGAAAACTCGTCAGAAATAATAATTTAGGCAAATTTGAGGAATCGTGGGTCACTATTTGTGACGAAAGCTACAAAAGGGTCAAAAATATTTATTATTACTGACAATATTAAAAATAGCGTCAGTAATATATGTTATTTTCAACGCCTCAAAAAGGTCATGGAAATAATGAAGCTCTTACTCACACTTTTTTTAGAAGGAGAATAATTCTCAAATTAGCATAATTAACCCTTTGGTTCTTTATTAAATTATTATTAATTTAAATACATTTAAACTCGTAAGAAATTCATTAACAATGTCACCTATAGCCAAAAATACTATCGATACTTTTTAACTTAATCAAGTGCGGCCGTTTTCACTTCATTGATCCATAACTCTACTGACTCACTCCCAAATCAAATACAATTTGTACTAAATAGTATAGGTACAAAATTATTTTGAACTTGTACATATGTTGTTTGATTATGGTCATGCCAACACATTCTCATATGACAATTCATTCTCATCACTGAAGCTATATAATGAAGCAGAGAAACTGTATTATCCATTTAGCAACTCAGCTGCAAGAGAGCACACTAATTGCTGATAACTTTTTTCTTTTCTTCTCCGGCCAACTACCTGAACATCATTATTCATTTGTCGATCAAATGATTTGTCCTTAAAATAAATATTTTTGTCGTAGGTTGAATTCAGATCTCTAATATTTGATGACAGGTTTAAAGAGTTACAAGGAAGTAATGATTTAAAAAGATTATGGAAGCAAAGAAGCACAAATTTATCTATTTGTTTAATTTTTTCTCAAGTTAACGCTCATTCTTCCGGTTGCCACGACAAGTGTCGAGCAATCATTTACATCCATGAAATATTTAAAACACCATCTTCGAATCTGGATGACCGATAAGTGGTTGAACTACGCGTTCGTGGCATATATTGAACAAAATTTTTGTGCTAGTTTGAACAAATAATGTAATCTAGAATGCTTCTAAAACATGAATTCTTATCGCGGTTCGTTGTGAACGGTGTACATAAAATTGTTATTATGTAATTGTATAAATTTCTAGTATTATATTGTTGACATATTATTTTGTTTAAAGTTAACTTTTATATGATATGAAAAGGACACCCCTTGGCAAATTTTCTAGCTACGCCACTGTGCATGTCGGTGAAAGGATCTCGAAGGCCCCTCAGTCGCCGTCCTCGCAGAGTCCGACCGTTTCTTCCTCACGCAGTCGGCCTCAACCTATAGCTCCAATGGTTGGCGGCCATCTCATCCGGTGACAGAGGGGGTAATGACGACACCGACGACGGATGTAGGGTTCATATATGTAAGCATTCATTTTGATTTTACGATTTATTTGCTAATTTGGGGAGTCTGGCCTTCTCATCTTGGTTTTGATTTTCTTTATTTTTGGCTGAGATTGACAAGGTTAAAATAAATCAAAAGGGAAGGGAAGGGCACCGTCAGACCTCGATTCTGCCAACAACGAAAGAGGTGCTGAGTCCACTGCTGGGGTTTGTCTCAATGGTGGGGTTTCATATTCTTCTTGGATTTTTTTACCTTTGGGTTTTCCAAGACTCGATCCCGGTGGCCTTCTTCAGGTACCAGGTGACCGACGACGACTTAATGGAGAACTCGATCCCAATATCGCCACCGACATCGGGGTTTTCGACTTGTACTTTTGGGGTCGCTCGTTTACGTTATTGCAGAAGGACACAAGGTTCAATCGAGTCTCTGCCATTGAAAATTTTGACTATGGCGGCTAGGGTTTGGTAGAGTTTGCATCTTCTAGAGTTGGACTGTGCTAGGGTTTGGTCGAGTTGGGCATTGTTTGATTTTATTTTTATGAGTACAATGATGTGAATAATGTATTAAAGTATTATGTAACAAAATTTAGATAGTGTATTATGTAATAAAATTTATTATTACTATCTTCGTTCTTATAAAAATTAACCAGTAAATTTAGTATTAAATATTAATATACTAAAATGAAAACATGAAGCTATCCATAAATGTATTTTGTAGAAAATGTTGAGTTTATTTATGACAAACGACTCCACCCTCATCACAAAAGACAAAGGGGTATATTTGAAATTGAAAATTTTCTATTATTAACGAAATGATTTCCATCATAAATAATTTTATTACCGATAAATTGTTTGTACTGACGTAGCATCCTCAACGAAAATAATCAAAGGGTATTTTAGGAATTGAAAATTGGATCCCATTTGCACGGTTTTTTCTACGATTCACTATCGTAAAAAAATGTAAAAGGGTATTTCGGGAAGAAAATTATTTATTTCTGACGGCATTTCTTCGTAAATAACAAAAAAATTCTCCCTCACAAATAAACTTCGTCATTTTTTTAGCATCAAGTATAATTTATTTTCGACAACGATATTTTGGTTAGCGACCAACAAATTTTCGTCACAAAAAAGTTTTTTCTGACGCCCTTACTTTTTAGACTTTTTGCGATGGGACTTTTTCCCATGACGACCAACAATAATATGTGGTAGAAAAGGCCTTTTCCAACAAAAAATGGTATTTTTCGACGCCAATCGTCTGGTCATATCTGACTGTCTTTTTTGTAGTGAGGGCAAACCTTAATATTGAATTAAGCAATTTGGCTAAGCGCAATTAAGCCGTCCAACCCTTGGGTTGAGATAGGGAGTAAGTCAACCATTGATTGCCTAGACCGAGAGGGCGTAGTGACAGCCTATAATGCATGCCTCGATTTAGCAATCATGAGCATGGTCTACGCCCATATTTGCGTCCCTTAGCGGTTAGCGATTGCCTTGCCATTAGCGATCATTCCGGTTCACATACCATGGTAGTAGTTAGGGGGAAGCGACACCCGAGTGATCTTCCCACAAAGAGTTTTCAAACCCAATTACCTTTACCTTATTTTATTTTAGTTAGCAAACTTTTAAACCAAAAACTTTGTTGCTAGATAATGACTCAAATGACTGAAGTAGGGGTAGACGGACCGGCCTGGGTTGATATTTAAACATATTTATCCATACTGCACCCGACTAAGGTTTATACTTGGGCCTTAGGTGGGAAATTATTGTGGTATTCGGGACGAGTCAAACTGTTTGGCAGGTTTCTATTACTTATGTGATGCAAGTTATAGTAATTGTGAAGGGTTCTTATCCCCTTTCATAGGTCAACGTTATCACCTAAAAGAGTGGGGAGGGTGACGACCAAGAAGCCCTGCAGGAATATTTAACATGAGGCATTCCACAACAAGAAAAGGAGTAGAGCGAGCATTTGGCATACTGAAAATGCGATGGGCGATCTTAAGAGACACAAGTTGGTTTTCAACCCAAATGGTCACAAAAATTGTGAATCCATGTTGTATGTTACATAACTTCATATGTGGAGAGAATGGTGCTGATGTGTTTGAGAGGTTGTACGTTGATGAAGATCCGGACGATGAAGAAGAAATTATGGATGAAGACCTCATTGTCCATATTCAACCTTCTGTATAGTGATCCGAGTTTAGACAACAATTGGCTGATGAGCTGTGGGCTACTAGGAATTGGGCGGCTAATTGATTAAGTGTAGTTTGGTAGGCTACATTCAATTTTAGTTCCCTTATGATGCAGTGTAAGAATGAACTACCCTATAATTTTTTCCTTTTGGTAATTTGAACTTCTTTGGGGTTGTTTTGTAAAGAGGAGTGAGCTATTGAACTATGTACTTCTCTAATGATAACTGTATGCTTTGTTATATATGTGTTGTAGTTTTATTTCTCATCTTATTAATGCTAGCACAATGTGAGAGAGATCTCTATAATATCTCAACATTTAATGGCTGAGATGGTGGTTGGCTTTGTTCAATTAAGATAGAGCAGGGAAGGTTTGTTCTTCTGCTTTTCTTTTGTTTGGTCAGTGTGCAGGCATATTCATTTTTCTTCTCGTTTTATTACTTTGTATGTTGTTATAGTTCTTCCAATTTTCTTTTATTTTGTGAGGTTAAGGTTCTTCTAGTTCAGTTGTTGTTCTGTTGTTTCTATAGTTCTAGTACAACTGCTTTTCTTTTATTTATGTTGTTCTAGTTCTGTTAGCTTTGTTCACTTTTATGCAGTTGGTTGAAGATGACAGCAACTGAAGGTGTTGATGGAGGCCTTAATGATGAAATATCGACTAGCACGATAATTAATTCTCGCGGTCCAAAAATGAAGATTCGAATTCAACGATATAATGATCAATTGGGATTGTTCTTAATGGATAAATGGCGCTTAAAAGCTGCTGCCAACACATGGCCATGCATGGACTTAAAATTGTGGTAGTTTGGTGGGTGGATTAATTCCAAAAAATAACAATTAAGAAGCCCCACGTGAAGACAAAATGAGAGTTAATTGATGATAATAAATCGTGATATATTATGCAAAGTGAGAAGTAAAGAGAATTGATGCATGGTTTCGTTGGTGGCCAATGCCACGTGAAAACGTAAAGCAAAGGAACGACCAAAACGTTTTCACAGTGGCTAAGGAATTTGGTGACTGGAATTTGTTCTCCGCAAAGGAAAAGGAAAGAGGACGCGCAACGAAGGGGTGCAATTGTGGAGTTTTTTCGTTTTAATTTTTTTATGGTTAATAAAAAATGCATTGAAGCTCGGAGAGGCACAACTCGCAACCTCCATCTCAAAAAGGTACTCGTTCAACTACAATATATGAACTAAAATCACAAAACAACAACCAAAACATATATCACGCTATACACTATATAACCTCAAGGGTCTTCTGCACCTTCAATTGGAACTCAATCTGGATGCTGGCAAAAATGGAAAACTCCTGCTTAACCTTCATCACCATCTGAGCTGGAGTCAGTGCACCCCTCTCCCCATGCACTATAGCACAATGTTCCTTCCAAATCATGCTTATACCGATAACCCACAGGACTCTCCCCACTGTTGCTGCATCAGTAGAGCGACTCCAGGCAGTCTCAGCCCATCGAAGTTGTGCCACCCAATCTGCAAAGTCAGGGAAACAACACACACCCTGCAAAAGCGCCTTCATCAAATCCCTACTAAAAGAACATGCATTAAACAAGTGATCATGAGTTTCAATTCCACCAGGGCATAAAACACAGGCAACATCACACTGCACTCCCCAACTGGCCAGCTGTTTCTTTGTGCGAACTCTTTCCAGAATTATCAACCAAAGCAAAACACAGTGCTTAGGGAAAATTGGCTTTGTCCATACAACCTTATACCATGACAGAAGTTGACTAGAGACCCTAATGGATTCCCATACCTACTTGACTGAGTATCGAGCAAGTACAACCCCATCCCAGGCCAAAGATTCCTCTGCTCCAGTTATATGCTGCTGAGCCAAGCACCTACACTTCAAAATCTTCCTCCAAACCTAGGTGCTAACAGTGTTAGGAGAAATAGAACAAATGCTTCTACCCTTCGCCCTATATTTCTTCATTCAGGCCACCCAAAGTGACCCCGCTTCAGCTAGGAGGTTCCACAAATGTCTGATCACACATGCTTTATTCCATGTTTTGAAATCACGTATCCCCAAGCCACCCTCTTGCCTTAACAAAGCAACTTTAGACCAAGCAACAAGAGCTTTCTTTCTCTTAGTACCATCAACTCCCCACAAGAAGTTATTACAAACATCTTCAATCATTCGAATGACCTTTAGGGTAAGAAAAAAAAATTGACATCCAATACTGGAATACACAAGTAATAACTGAATATATTAATTGCAACTTCCCTGCATAACTCATGGTTCTAGCTTGCCAAGTCTGGATCCTCTTAGTAATTTATCAACAAGACAGTCACAATCAACAAAATTCAGTTTTCCAGAAGGGAGAGGCACACCCAAGTAACAGGAAAGGTAAATCACCTAAGGGGAATCCAAACTGATCAAACAATACTTGCTTTTCTTCTTGAGAAAGCCCGGCACAAAACAGTTGGCACTTTTGAGGGTTACATTTCAAGCCAGACATGGAATAGAACTGTGCAAGCAATTGCTGTATCCCAGCCAGTGCCTCAGATGGTCCATTAGATAACATTAATAAATCATCCGCAAAACAGAGATGTGTTATCTCCAGGCTCTTACAACGAGGGTGAAATGGTATTTGGTTACGTCTAACAGCTCTAGTCAGTAGGCAAGAAAACACTTCCATAGCAATCGTGAAAAGATAGGGGGAAAGCGGGTCCCCCTGTCTTAATCCCTTAGCCGCATGGAAGTAGCCACATAAACCACCATTGAACGAAATACTAAGCATAGGGGATTGTACACACGACTCAACAAGCTTAACAAACTGATCTGGCATTCCCATAACCATCATAACTTTAAACAGAATCAACCAATCAACCGAGTCAAAAGCCTTCATTAGATTTATTTTGAGTGCACACCTAGGAGATATTCGACCTCTATGATAGTCCTTTACTAGCTCTGTTGCTATTAATATATTATCACTAATGAGCCGGACTTTAACAAAAGCATATTGACTTCTGCTAATTAGTAATGGTAAAGCCAAGGACAGCCTATTAGATAAGAGTTTTGAAATGCCTTTATAGATCACGTTGAAACAAGATATAGGTCTAAAATCTTTCATTTTTTCAACTACTTGAAGCTTGGGAATTAGTGAGATAACAGTAGAATTTACCTGTCTTGGCATAACTCCAGTTCCAAAGAAATCCAGCACAACATTCTCAACCTCAGGCCCCACTGTTTCTCAATCCAGTTTGAAAAATTCAGCAATGTACCCATATGGACCAGGTGCTTTATCATTACTCATCCCACAGAAGACCTTTTTAATTTCTGCCTAGTAACTGGAGTAGTCAGCAAAGCACCATCATCATTCATGAGCTTCGGGCTTAATAGATCCTCAAAGAACTCACTAGGAAACTGCTAAACAGAAGATCTGCATTTCCTAGTAGCCCCTTATAAAAATCCACAGCAACCTTACTCATTTTCTTCACATCAGTTACTTCTTCCCCAGCGTCTATGATCGACTTCTGAATAGTCAGTTTATGATTCCTAGCCTTAACCATACCATGAAAAAATCCAGTATTTGCATCTCCTTTAGTGATCTATTGGACCCTCGACTTTTGCTATAAAAAGATTCTTCAGCACTCTAGAGATCCCTACACTTCCTTTCCTGTTCCATTATAGCTTGCGTGTTAGCGTCAGATGGAGCAGAGAGCATATTACTCTGCAACCCCTCAAACACTACTTCTGCTTCCCTTGTTCGAACAGACAGATCAGAGTAGACAGTCTTATTCAAATCCTTAAGACTGCGCTTAAGCTCACCGAGTTTCCTATATAAAATGCGATATGTCTCTCCAGTAGTCTCTAGCTGCCATGCCTCCTTCAACAACTCTTCATATTGAGGGCATTGCCTCCAAAACAGAAAGAGCTTGAAAGGTTTTGGCAGTGAACTAACCCTAGAGTCAGTCTGCACAAGTAATCCACAATGATCTGACAACCTAGGGGGCAAGGGTCTGCACTAAACTATTTGGGAATCTATCCAGCCACTTCTCAGTAACCAGGGCCCTATCAATCCTCCTTGCAATAGGATTGTTAACTTGTTTGTTCCACCAAGTATACCACGACCCAAAAGTTCTATGATCTGTAAGCTTCATATCCTGTATCCAGCAACGAAAATCCTCCATACTCTGATTAAAACCAGGCCGATTTGAGGCTTCACTATCCTCAACATTAGCATTGAAATCTCCCATCCAAACTCCAGGCTCACTTGTTAACCCCAGCTGCCGCAACTCAACATACAACCTTGCCCTATCCTGCACTTTATTCGGGCTATAAATTGCAGTAACAAGACAAGATTATGTGCCAGACTGAAAACGAACACTAATATAATGCTCCCCCATTCCAACTTCACTAACAACCAAATGAGGTTTCCAGAACAGCCAAACACGACCAGAAGGTGAATACTTATAATTATCTAACTACTTCCAACTACTAAAATGCTTATTCCTTATATCTGCCGCATTATGCTTTAATACTCTTGTTTCTAAAATAGCAAAAAACTCTACCTGCAACTTCAATACCTTTTTATTTACATATCTATGTTTCTCAGGGGCATTGAACCCCCTGAGATTCCAGCAGAGAAACTTCATTTCTTCCTCCTATTCTTCCCACCCTTCTTTGGAAAGGCAGGAATCACAAGCTCTATACTCTTTGGATTTAACGGGACACGAGAAATAACCGCCGAGGCTGGAATTCTAACATTACCACTTTGATCACGACCATACACATTCTTCCCCTTATGCACCACCAGCTAAAACCCATATTCATCTATCAGACCCTCCCTTAGGGGTGTAGAAGAGCTGGCAACAACATCATCCCCCACAATCCGTTGAATATCCAAAACATTAGAACCCCTAGAACCAGAACCCCCTTCATCTGACTACACTCTCTCCAAATCCTCTACTGCCTTACCCTTATCAATGGAATCTTCCTTAACAACAACCTCTTCCTCAACCACAACCAATTGAGTAGCAACAGACTTCCCACATTCTAGGACCTCCCCAATAACATGACCAAATTGCGCACACTGCTCACAACGAGGTGGAAGACTGAGATGATGAACAAATAAATGCATCCTCTCCTCCCCCTCCGGACGAATCCAGATTTCAATTGGGAAAAAAGCGAATCAGTAGCATTCTCAATACACATCTTAGTCGTACCCATCTGAGCTCCAAGCTTGGTTGCATGGTCCATCCACAACGGTGTACCCAGCAAGCTCGCAACCCATATTCAATCATTCCACTGTCATGTACTCCGGCGGCAACTCTCGAATGCGCACCCAAATCGGCAACTTAGTATAGTCCATCTTAACTGATTGAATCCCTAGTACCCATTTGCGAAGAAACAAGGGCACGTTCTCACAATGCCAAGGGCCATTCTCAAACACCCACCTACTCGACTCTTCACTCTCAAATTGAAACAAGAACATATTGGAACCAAATGCTGAAAAAACACTCGTCCATCTCGTCCCCAGTATCGCTGAGCCCATCGACGAATCACAGCAATCGGAGGCGCCGCCGTGAGGAACTGCCCTACCAACGCTTTTCGCCATCTGACTGCTCCCTTGTCGCGAACCGCCCGAGGAATAACAAGCTCCCCATCCACTAGATTCGGTGCAACGTTACTACTTAGTCTGGGATTTGTTTTCCTATTCCTAGAATGTTAGATTTATGTTTTTTGTGACCTCTATAAATAGAGGGTGTAAGAGCTATGTAACACCCCGAATTTTGGGTTATGGTTTGACCATAATACGTGATCGGTTGGATCGGCGTTTACGTACGAAGGATGAATACCCTAAATTAGAAATAATAATAATAACATTAATAACTAATGTTATCGTTGTTATTATCATCATCACCTCAATAATCACCATTACCCGCCAATTCCCCATCAGTAACAGCAACACATTATTAGGATTTGTTATTATAATAATCATCATTTACCTCCACCCACTCGTATTCCCCAACAACACCAGGAAATAAGCCTTTTGGACTTAAGTGTTTAAATCAGAAAGTGGGAAGTGGCCTGGAGGGCTGAATGGTGAAATTCAGGAAATTTGGGGCCGAATTGTAAAACCTGGGAATTTCGCGTACCATTTGGTAATTTGCCATTTTGGGGCAAAAAGGCAATTTTCCAGAATGTTATGGGGAATCTTAGAAAAGATTAAATGGAGGAAATTGGGATTTAAATTAACCAAATTGAAGGTCGTTTGGTTAGTTACGCTTAGAGATAAGTGAGTTAAGTTTTGCCTAAATATCTAATAGGAGGAAATGCAAAAGGAAGTGAAGCACGAGGAGTTGGAGCGTGGAGTTTCGGAGGATGACGTGGGTCAACCGTCGATTAAGAAGAGTCGTCTTTTCGAGGTGAGTGTAAAGGGGGTAAAATCTCCGTCGAGGTCTTTTATTTTATGTCTTTTTAATTCAGTTATGTTATTTAATTTTCAAGTAAGCGCGATTGTGTGTGTGAGGCATCCCACCGCCTACTTAAGGTGGAGGCACGCGTTGTGCTATGTATGTGTGTGTTTATGATGTATGGATGATGATAATGGAACCTTCGGGCGGTTGGGCCACTACTGGACGCGGTAGATGGTCGGGTTACTACTGGACGGCGATACGTAACGCAGTAGTTGACCGGGCATGGACTGGACGGCGATACGTAACGCAGTACCACTGCCTTGAGGATAAGGACAACGGACGGCGATAAGTAACGCGGTGATTCCCTAGTAATAAATATATAAGTTAAGGTAATAGTAGAGAACTTCTATGATTTAAGTATAAAAGTTGAGAACTTCTATGAGTTAAAGTTGAAATGAGTTGTGAAGGATGAAAGTGAGAACGACTTTCATCTAAGGGAATGAAACGCTAATAACGTGTTTTAGTAAGGAGATTTCTAAGGGCAGAGACCTTAGGAAGTAACGACGAGACTGACCCCTTCTCACTCACCAGGTTGAGGTTGGGTTAGCAGAAGTGGATCCCGAGAAGAAGTAAGATGAGGCGAGCGGCCGTGCCAGTACTAGTGAGATGTCAAGGAGCTGGGTGAAGAGTTAGAGTTAAAATTTGGAAGTTATTTTATGATTATGATTATGAGTATATGTATTGGAGATTCCAGGTTCAAGATTCTGTGTTAAGTCGTTTGAGTGTTTGAGTTTGAGATTTTGCCCAAGTGTTGGGGCTTTTCGTTTAAAGTTCTTAAATAATGTCAGTTGTTTATTTCAAAATGTGGTTTGGGTTGCTCCGGAGTAACCGGTTTTTTTGGGTTTGAGTTGTGGTTTGATTTTCGAAAAAGGTCGGGACGTTACATTTTGGTATCAGAGCCTGCACTCCTCTGTTTCTTGGTCTCCAAGGAATACTGGAGTGACGATCTGAGTTTTTCAAGGTTTCATTTTTAAAGGAAAGGAAAAAGGATGTCAGGTTTAAGGTTTGGCCAAACGAGTCAAGGGTTCTTTTAAGGATTTTTAGAATCTCCAGTATACTCTAATCATGATTAGGAAATAACTCTAGGAGGCAGTGCGAGGTTTTGACACGTCTCGGAAAGGAGAAGCAGCAGAGTCCTTAGAGGATCGTCTACTGTACCCACTTCATGAGCGAGAAGAGATAGTCCAAGGCAGCTCTTACCCTACGGGGATGCAAGTTGATCATTACGAGGTTCAGAAAGACGCTAAGCATCGAAGGCGTCGATAGACATTAGGAAATGAGTTACGACAAGTGGCGGCCATCATCAAGAGAAAAGGATGCAAGGATGGTTCATTAAGTCCATGAGAATCGAACTTAGGGCTACGATCCCAAGGAGCAGTGGAAAGTTAGACTTTAAGCAACACTAGGGGTGCATAAACAAGGCAAAAGGAGGAATTAGGGAAAAAATCCAAAAGTACCACTGTTTAAAATAAAAATTCCAAAAATACCACCCAATCCCAAAAAATTCCAAAAATACCACCCTTTTTCAAAAACCGCCACCCCACCCAGCGGTTTACACGAAAACCGTTTGTCGGGGGCGCGGTTTTCTATGCAAACAGCGGGCCTAGGGGGCGGTTATAAAATTTTTTTTTTTGACCAAACCGCTGGGTGGGGTGGCGGTTTGACCCAAAACCGCCACCCCACCCAGCGGTTTGGTCAAAAAAAAATTTTTCTTTTTTCGATCAACTCCTAACTTCGGCCGAAACTTCAAACGAACGTAACTTTGCACTCGGGTATTCGATCGATGCAATTTTTTTTTCATTTCGCATAACTTTTCAAGATCTACAACTTTTAGTAGGATGAAATTTTCAAAACAGGAACTATTTGTGGATATACGGGACCTTGAGAATAACTTTACCTTTACTTTTCAAAAATCCATGTACATTTTGAAATTATGATTATATTAAAAGTTGTAGATCTTGAAAAGTTATGCGGAATAAAAAAAAATTCATAACATTCGGATTTAGGATCACAAAGTTATGACCGTCCAAAGTTTGACGAAATGCGAGACCCGGCGGCATGCGGCTTGCAAGATCTCAAAAAGTTTGCGGCCTCCATTTTTTGAATCCGAATAGCTTTTTGAGATCTTGCAAGCCGCAAACTAATGGGTCCCGCCTTCGTCTCGAAAAAACGTCATTTGCCACCCCGAACGAGCCTTTTTTTATTTCGTCAAACTTTGGGCAGCCATAACTTTGTGCTCCAAAATCCGAATGTCATCAATTTTTTTTTTATTCCGCATAACTTTTCAAGATCTACAACTTTTAATATAATCATAATTTCAAAATGTACATGGATTTGTGAAAAGTAAAGGTAAAGTTATTCTTAAGGTCCCGTATATCCACCAATAGTTCCTTTTTTGAAAATTTAATCCTACTAAAAGTTGTAGATCTTGAAAATTTATGCAAAATGAAAAAAAAAATCGCTACAATCGGATACCCGAGTGCAAAGTTACGTTCGTTTGAAGTTTCGGCCGAAGTTAGGAGTTGATCGAAAAAAAAAAAAAATTTGGACCAAACCGCTGGGTGGGGTGGCGGTTTTGGGTCAAACCGCCACCCCACCCAGCGGTTTGGTCAAATTTTTTTTTTTTATAACCGCCCCCTAGGCCCGCGGTTTGCATAGAAAACCGCGCCCCCGACAAACGGTTTTCGTGTAAACCGCTGGGTGGGGTGGCGGTTTTTGAAAAAGGGTGGTATTTTTGGAATTTTTTGGGATTGGGTGGTATTTTTGGAATTTTTTTTTTAAACAATGGTACTTTTGGATTTTTTCTAGGAATTAGGTAGGTCTTAAGGAGCTCGACATGTTTTCATGGTATCAAGATGTTAGTGCTAAGAGGGCGCGGACCTAGGGAACTAGGCCGACGACATTACTTGAGCAGGAGGAGACCACCATCGAGTTGAACGAGGTAAACAATGGTGAGAGGTTCGAGAGACCCTACAAGTCACAGTAGTCACAAGAGGTCAAAAATCTAAGGGATGTAAGGAGTATCTTCGGACCAGGGTGTGATAAAAATTTGGGATCTCGAAAATTTTCTAGGTATAGTCATCAAGCTAGCCGAGGATAGATAAGAAAGTAGAATGTTCGAGTGAAGTTCTAATAAATGTTAAAGAAGGCAACTAGCACTTTTGAGAAGGAATGACGAGGAGCTACTGAACTGGGTTCGCGTGTCAAAACTAGAACCAAGATTGATAAAAGGATTGTGAAAGTAAAGGAAGGGTAAATCCATGTAGTAGAAGGATTACCTAAGGTGAGTCTTTGAATAGTCTCAATGGACAAATTTCGAGGTCGAAAATTTTTCTTAAGGGGGGAGGAAATGTGACATCTCGATTTTGGATTTAGGGTCAACAACAACTACCAGGTGAATTGGATCAACATGACAAACCACAGCAGCATTTTATTTCATCACTTTTTGGTTAAGTGGTGAAATAAAAAGGGCAGTGAGTCACTCAAGGTTACACGAGTGATACAAGCCAAGAAAACCGATATGATCAAAGGGTACCAACGAAGTTAGTATAGTAAGAATAAATGATAGTGGGAAGGAAGTATAAGAAGGGTGTTGATAGAAGGATGAGTTCATCAAATTTCGGGGACGAAATTTTTATAAGGGTGGAGGAAATGTAACACCCCGAATTTTGGGTTATGGTTTGACCATAATACGTGATCGGTTGGATCGGCGTTTACGTACGAAGGATGAATACCCTAAATTTGAAATAATAATAATAACATTAATAACTAATGTTATCGTTGTTATTATCATCATCACCTCAATAATCACCATTACCCGCCAATTCCCCATCAGTAACAGCAACACATTATTAGGATTTGTTATTATAATAATCATCATTTCCCTCCACCCACTCGTATTCCCCAACAACACCAGGAAAGAAGAGGGAAATAAATATTAAAAGAAAAAAAAATTCCAAGACCCATTACTCTTCCCCAACCCAACGGTTCCCCAGTAATTTCCGTTACCACCCCGCTTTCTCCCTTAACTCATCGGATCCTTTTTAATCACCCCACCGAGAGCAGCAGGGGAATCATAAAGAAAAGAAGAAACTCGTCGGGGAACAGGGGCTTAAGCCCAGCTCTTATGGTTGCAAACGAAGGGGAAGAGCAAAGTGAAAGAGGCTCTCTCTGTTTTGTGGAGCAAAAGCAGAGGACAACTCATAAAAGAGGAGGAGGGTATGGTGCGTTCCACGACTTGGACGTTGGCGCAGAAATGGAGGGGTCGACGCGAGGTGAAAGAGGATGTAGGAGGATCCGAACTAGAATGGTGGCTCGGGGACGCAAGAAGAAGCCCGGAAGCTCGACGGCGGCTGTAGCGGAAGGCGGCGTGAACGTCATCATCAATCGGACGGGTGTTGATGCGATGGCAAGGCCGCGAAGCTACCCGCCGAAACGGAATGGGGTTTGGGCAGCTCGGAGGTGGCCTCCCAATTGTGGCCCGAGGAGGGGTGTGGAAGACGGCGGCGGCGGCGGGAAGCTCCAGGCGGCGGCAGATGACGAACCGTTGCTCGAGGAAGAAGAAGAGGAGCCGGAGGAGTGCGATTGTTGTTGGTTCGGGGATGGCGAGAAGGACGACGGCGACGGTGGCCGGAGCTGCACCATCGACGGCGGCGACGGTATGCAGGTGAGAGTTCTCCTGTTTTATTGGAATTCCATGGCATCAATTTGGGAATATGATGGATAGTTAGGGGCGTACATGTCTTTTTGGAGTGCGGCGATTTTGTAAACGTTTGGAAGTTTAGGCGCCGTAAAGTAATTGACCAGGCCTTGGGTGAGTTGGTAATTGGTAAATGTTTGGGTATCGGGTTGGAAATAAGCCTTTTGGACTTAAGTGTTTAAATCAGAAAGTGGGAAGTGGCCTGGAGGGCTGAATGGTGAAATTCTGGAAATTTGGGGCCGAATTGTAAAACCTGGGAATTTTGCGTACCATTTGGTAATTTGCCATTTTGGGGCAAAAAGGCAATTTTCCAGAATTTTATGGGGAATCTTAGGAAAGATTAAATGGAGGAAATTGGGGTTTAAATTAACCAAATTGAAGGTCGTTTGGTTAGTTACGCTTAGAGATAAGTGAGTTAAGTTTTGCCTAAATATCTAATAGGAGGAAATGCAAAAGGAAGTGAAGCACGAGGAGTTGGAGCGTGGAGTTTCGGAGGATGACGTGGGTCAACCGTCGATTAAGAAGAGTCGTCTTTTCGAGGTGAGTGTAAAGGGGGTAAAATCTCCGTCGATGTCTTTTATTTTATGTCTTTTC